CATACCTCAACAATGTGTTGGACAAAGGATGTTGAACATGGAGATGCCAGGCAGAAGGAAAAGAGAAGATATCGAGGAGGGACATGCAGAGTGTGTCATGTTGATGTGACAGAAGAGGATGCTAGTGATAGGGTGAGAACGAGACAGATGATCCGCTATAGTGAGTCATAAATGGAGCAATCGAAAGAAGAAAAATAACTGGAAACACTGAGAAAAGTGAATTCCTGTCAGATGAGCTTGATTTCTGCATTCTGTCACTAGACGAAAGGATGGATTAATATTTTTCCTCACAACTATTTTTAACACAGCTTGCATTTTATTTCTCCCTCAGGTAAAGTTATTAATCAGTTAGACTAAATTGGCACAAGGTGCTCGCCAATTCTGAAGAATATAATTTGTCTTTCTGTTCCTTGGTATCGTGTTCCATAAAACACATTTATGATGGGCATTTCTCAGCACAAGCAAAGAGACATAAATTGCTGTTTTTGACCCAAGGGTTCCACAGTACGATGGACAAATGAAGCTGTATTATGGCTCCACATTACTGTAGAAATTGCACATCAAGATATTGTATTCCCTGATCCCTGATTCTAAAAACCCCAATATTAATCGTTTTAGGAAGAGAAATCCATAATGAAAGAAAGGCTTTAATTTTGAAGGTAAACTCGCATGATTTCCGGTATTTGTCTGTTTGTCGTGTCCGCTCTGCTGAACGACTTGCAGAAGCTTACCTGATCCCAAATTTCCCATCATACACCGCGACTGTGACGTCCTGTCCCAGGACAAAGCCTGCAGAAGAGATGAACTGCCTATTTATCTAGCTATCTATCTATCTTTTTTCACAGCTATTAATTTATTTTTTTTAGCTAATATTAATTAGTCAAATATAACTCTAATATTAAAATTAATGGTAAAATATTGACAATAATGTGCATTTTAAAATTTGGTGTCTTTATCTTTTGTCTTTAACTTTTAAACTATTAAAAATTAAAGGTAAAGTGAGGATGAATGCACATCTGAGGCTAAGTTTAGCATCGTAGTGTTATTTTTGAAGTAAAATCAGTCATATGTTCACAACATTTCATTATATTTATGTCATCTGTTTGTTCTCTGCTCTTAACTTTCTCTTCTTATACTTTACAAGTGACAACTGTGGGTGTAAACTTATTTATTTATTTAAATAAACAAACAAACTTGGATCTTGGTTTCTTTATCATTTTAAATGCAGACTATTTGCTGCTTAAAACAGTCCTGTGTTTAAAAAGGTTGGTGGTTGTAGCTTTGCTATGTATCCATGGAGACGCAGTTAACAGCCAGGCTCCCTTCGGTGCTGTGGTTTATTTAAGTTCCTGTTTGCTTCCTCTGTTTTCTCATTTTGTTGTATTGTTGCTGCGTTGTCAGAGATTAGCACGTCCTTTCAGTCAGATTAACTGGGTGGTCTGTGCGTGTGCCTGTGTGTGAGAGAGAGACCTAGAGGTCACTGTTGAACCAGCATTAGTCTTATTAAAGTCAAATGAGCATTACAGCAGGTCTAATGGGAGTCACCGGGGCTGCGGCTCAGCAGCTTAACAACAGACAACAGCAAACAAACAGGATCTGAAAAGTGTGTATGTGTGGGTCTGTGTGTGTAGAGGGAAGTGTGAGACAATGTAAAATTCACACACCCTTGTTTACAGGAGCAAAGACAGACTGGGTGAGAATAACTAGAAGCAGTCTCTTTGTTTGTCTTTCGCTGACATTTTGCAGGTAAACGCAGGTCATGTGTCTTAAAGTAGAGCTAGTCAGTTCCAGAATTAATTAAAATAGTTTTACTAACATCACTGGCTCCTAACATAACTTTAGGTTCAGTATTCTGTGCAGCTGTGATAAAGAAATAAACTTTAATACAGGAAGCCCAGTAATCACTGAAGTCTGCAGTGCATCCTGGCATCAGCCTCAGAAGAACAGCAAAGACTGGAAATTTACTAAAATTAATTTATTTTATTAGTTATGGACTTTAAACCACATTTGGTGTTTGTCAAGGTGGAAATGATGTATGCAGACTGTTTACAGCTGATCATCTGCAGGCAGCACAGCTAAACTTAACCATAACATCACAAAACAATACAAGAATAACCACAGTAACATATTATGAAAAATAAAGCGAATGCTGATAAATTAAGGGATGTTGATGATGAGTTACATGTATATAACCACAGCTGTTTAGAAGAGTGATCAACCTTTAAAGTCGCCCTCTAGAGACCGAAGAAATCCCTCAGAGGAGTTACACAATGGCCTTAATGATCGACACTATTTTGGTCTTTAGAAAGTTCCACTCAGCCTTAAACACAATAATAAAGAGCAAAGCTGTCCTGCCTCTGAGACTGAATCAGTAAAGATCTGCCGCCCACCAGCTGATGGAGGAGTCAGACTGAGACGTTTAAGTGTCTTTTACTGTGTAATTCAAACTGTAGATTGTCACTTAGATTTACCATAACTCACAGGAGGACCTAATGGGCTTAGTCATGCACATCTGGAGCAGCAGAGGTAGAGAAGGATTGTGGGAAAGTGAATCTTTTTATTAGGCCATATATTTTCACATTTGTAAGTCCCCAGACAAGCGTGAAAAGAAAGAAGTCAAATGCAGCAGTTTGTATTAATAATATACTTTTATTACAAAGGTCCTCCAATAACTGAAAACAAAGCAATAATTTTATAGTGTATACTTGAGAAACAATGAAAATAATTGCTTTATTTTCAGGGCAGCATGGTGGTTTGGTGGGTAGCACAGTTTCTTCCCAAGAAGAAGGTCCTGGGCTTGACTCCACCAGGTGATTGGAGCCTTTATGCATCTTTTCCCCATGGCAGTCCAAAGACATGCATGTTAGGTTAAATCAGCTGTAGGTGTGAATGGTCTCTGTGTTAGACCTGTGATAGACTGGTGGCCTTTCCAGTTTGTAGCCTGCTTCTTGCCCTGTGACAGCTGATGGTTGGTTAATTTTCTCTCCTTAGTTCATGGCTTAGCGTATGAATATTAACTGTTCTCTGACTGTAACTGCACTGGAACCACTGGTGTCACCTTAAAACTATACACTGAGGACCTGTGGGGACAAGCACTGCAAAGGTTAAGCCCCACCGAATCAGTTCAGCCCTCTAGATCTTTCTATAAACCAAAATGACCTTCATAATAATGTGTTAAGACTTGGCTGCTGAGTCAGCGAAACGTAAAGTCATGCCAGCTTTAAGGCAGCAGTTTTTACTCATTGCCTTATTTCTTTAATGTTCTGCAAAGTGTTCCAATTCTAATTGGCATGTTTGAACACTTTGTA